ATGCACGCTGTAGCACGATACAACGATATTTCTTCAAAAGCAGATCGTGGAGACATTCAAAAATTGTCATATCGCACACCCCTAACTACCAAGTATAATCAATCTCACACACACAAACAAGCACAACGAAATCACTTCACACTATTAAGCGGCTGTGTTATGAACATGCAAAATTGTATCGCACCCGTGCTACAGTGGTAAATTTATTCATCGCACAGACCAGTTTTTTTGTAGCACGTGCGACATATATGTCGCACTGTACAGCCCTGCTAAAAGAGAAATTTGGAATAATGTACTGGCTTCTCTTTTCCACATAATGAAAGTGATGGGGATCTGGGCTGTTACAGAAGTAAATTATTTTAAAGTATTTAGCCATAAAATGACTCGTGCTGTACATAGGAGTCATATAATATTAGGGCAGTCGTGGCCTAATGGATAGAGAGTCAGACTTGTAACCCGAAAGTCGTGGGTTTGAGTCTCAGGTCTGGCAGGGATTGTAGGTGGGGGGAGTGAATAACCAGCGCTCTCTCCACCTTCAATACCACGACTGAGGTGAGACCCTTGAGCAAGGCACCGAAACCCCAACTGTTCCCCGGGTGGTGTAGTTTGCTCTGGGTGTGTGTTCACGCCCACTGCTCCAGGTGTGTGTTCACACTTGGATGGTTAAATGCAGAGCACAAATTCCGAGTATGGGACGCCACACGTCACTTCACTTTCGCGTAATTACTTTCACTGAACAGTGATATTTAATTTATTCATTGACAGTCATCTGCTGTCCACAATCAGTTCAAATATGTCACATTTAAGATATGACATCCTTGATGTGACCAGTTCTCTTTAGATTCAAAGTAGATAGTGACTTAAATTTGGATGTTTTTTTTTTGTATATGGCTATTGTATCACTTCAGAGGACTTGGGATGTAGATCTAAGTCATATTATGTAGCTTCTAATTTTATTTGATTTATTTACTTATCTTTTGTTCATTTTGGAGCTTGACTGGCTGGATCTCCATTCACTTACATCATGTGGAGTACACTGGCCAGTACATTTATCAACATTTATCCTTCTGTGTTCCACATGCAGGTTTGGAACAACACAAGCTGTCAGTGAACGATGAGAATGTTTTTCGGGTGAACTGTGTCTTTAAGTCTCCATGTCTTGGAACTGCTGAACAGATGGCCTGTAAGCTGCCATCGGGTCTGCTTATCGAATATGGAAAGACGCTTCTGACAGCATTACACCTCGGGTAAGCCTTTTTCATATCATGCATTACTAAAAATATGATTAGCACTTTTTTGTTGTTGTTGTTTTCATGGCACATTTTCAAGTGTTTTTGGACATTTCATTACAATGATGCTTCAATAAAGAAGTCTATTATTTAAAATAAAGATTATTTCTCATCCAACTTTTGGTCTTGTTTTCAATCAAATTGGTTTATAAGTAGATATAGGAAGACTTTAAACTAAATATTGCAAATATAGCTGCATAATCAATCCTGGTTGTCAACCATTTAATTTTATTAATGCACTTCTGTTGTGTCAGGTGTAATGTTTTGGTTATGGTTGGTGATGCAAAACGGTCAAATACCCTTAAATGGAAAATACATTTCACAGTAGCAGGGTAGTGCAGACTTTCCTCATGCAACTTTCAACACAATGAAGTTGAACATAAATAATTTTAAATGTAATACCTAGCTATAGCAATGAAAACACAAAACACTGGTTTTAAGTGTTACTATTCTGAATGTTTAACTCCAATGCATCTTCTGTTTACCTACAATGCTGTAAGACAGTAGTATGTAAAGACAATAATAAATGCTGTCAGACAAGAATTCATGTTCTCCTATTCTCTAAAAGTGTAGACAGCCAGAATAATGGACAAACATAGAATTAAAAAAACTTTAATGGTTAAGACCATTACCATGTATATGCAGTAGGACATCTATATATAAATGTATAATATATTTTGAGTTAAATGACCTGCATGCTATATTATAATAAACATTAAGAAACATGTAAATTGGTCCCCTAATGAAAATGGATCAAAACATATTGTGAATGTCCTCAGTAAATAATTAACTATTTTAAATTTTAGTTAAGTTAAATCGAAGAAATAATAAAAGTTAAAATAAAAACGGTACTAAATCATCTTTGTTTTTATATGAATGAAGATTTTATGGCAAGGACATATCAGCTTTGAGGCACAACGGTTTAGAGTACGACTTCATATCTTGTAATGGTTCAGTTAGAAGGAAGAGCCTGTAGGACAGCCTGTGGCACTCTGCTTAAATAGTACTCATGATTCCTCAGTGCTGCTAGCACTCCAGCAGAGTTCATGTGCTTCACATTGGCATCATATGTGTATGCATTACCATGCATGTCTGTCAGTTTGCCTGTACATGAAAAACAACATAAAATGTATATATTTATCTTAAATATCAAGTGCATTTTCAAGAATGTATGTGCAAAAAATGACTGTCACCTCCAACTGCGTGCAGAATTGCTTCAGGTGCACATGTGTCCCACTTTTTACATCCTGGACTGGCAAACACATAAGCAGAGGCCTTTCCCTCCACCAGCTGGATGATCTACCAGGGCCAGAATCAAAATGTAATTAGTTTTCTTCTACGCCAGTACTGACTCAGTCAAATCAAAGGCTGTGACCCACCTTATTCCCAGCCCCTCCCACTCTGATGACATCATGAGGCTCCATGGCTTGCACTGCGTCGATCACAAGTTTATTGCTATGGGACCGTGTAGTAGTGATGATTCTTTTACCATCTGGGACTTCCTGGAGTTGAAACCCAAATGCGCCCAAACCCAGTACTCCCCATAATGTTCTGCCCAAAGAAGCACCAGCCCCCATCTGAATGAACAGAGAAAAAAAAAAAACAGGTCAGCCAATCCCAGCCTCTACCAAATATAGTGTAGCATGTGTGAGTGACCAACTGGTTGGACCTGGTAGTTGTAGAAGGGTTGATTGATGACTCCAGCAATGGCTGTCCCTCCATAAGCAATGCCTATTAGTACGGTCACATGATCCAAGAGCCCTGCAATAAAATGGCACACAAACAACATTATAAAAAGTATTAGTCAGCTCCAACATTAAAATATTGTTAACCCCACTATGCTCTTGTAAATGTATATGGCACTGTATGGGTAAGACCTTAGGGTGTGTTCACACTTGACAAGTATGGTTCAATTAAACAAACTCAGGTGCAATTACGCCATTAATGTGGTTCATTTGAATAAGGTGAATGCTGCCATCCGAACTTTGGTGCATACCAAACAAGCAGACCGATACCCCCTAAAAAGGTGGGTCTCGGTCTGCTTGTTTGGTGTGCGTCAAGGTTCGGCACCTTAGGACAGGGGTGTCCAAACTCAGTCCTGGAGGGCCACTGTCCTGGAGAGTTTAGCTCCAAACTGCCTCAACACACCTGCCTGGAAGTTTCTAGTATACCTAGTAAGACCTTGATTAGCTGGTTCAGGTGTGTTTTATTGGAGCTAAACTCTGAAGGATAGTCGCCCTCCAGGAGCAGGACTGGACACCCCTGCCTTTGGAAGTGTTCACACTTGGCAGGTTTGATTCAATTAAACAAACTCTGGTGCAATTCAACAACTGTGTATGCTGCCCTCCAAACCTTGGTGCACACCAAACAAGCGGACCAAAGACCCATCTTTTCAGGGGGTCTTGGTACACTTCCAAATGAACTCTAGTGCAGTTTACTAGAAATATGAACACAACACGGACTTGAGGCATCTAAATGAACCAAAACCCATTAGAATTCGGTACAGGCACTGGAACTGGCATCTTGCAGAAGATCTACATTTGTGCAGCGGAGAAATTCCTGCCACTGTTTTAACTCCTTTACACAATTATAAGTGCCGTTGCAAAATATATGTCATAACAGTTGTTCAGTCAGGTTGTGACCATATCTTTATGCCTTTAGTTTGTATCTTTAGGCTTGGTGTAAAAAAATGACAGTGTGAACCCTAAGCAAACCAGGAATAAAGTATTGTGTTCTTTTGTGGTCCGGATCAAAAGAACCAAGAGAACAGAACACAAGTGTGAACACACGCATGCTGGTAATGCAGGTTCAAGCCAGGTCTGCAACATGTCCCTACCCATTCCATCTTTCATTCTCTCATAATTCTTTGCATCCCTGATAATGCATTTGTCCAATAAAGTGGTGGTAATTTATAAAGTTGAATAAACAACCAAATACCACACTGTAAAACCAAATAGTATTCCTTACTATAGAAATACTAGTACGTTTACTTGATTTTAACCAAAATGTTGAGTTTACTACAAATTTTAAATTGTTGCTGAAATATTAGAACAGATAGTTCCCATAACTAACGCAATTTAAGTAAAGTTACTCAAAATGTTCAAGACATGCTGTTACGCATGCGTACTGAGTGGCAATTGCCCCTCCCGCACGCACACAGCACAGAAGCACACCGACTGAGGATTCAACGTGCAGAGGATCTGCTTTGGTCAAATCAAGGTAAAAGCTTTTAAGTCTCGTTTTCTGATTTTTTGCTTGCTAGTCCTTGCTAGGTTTTGTGCAATTTGTTGCTTGCTGTTTTGTGGAACTTCTTAGCCCATGTGAAGAACTCGAACACGTTTTGACCCCTGCGCATTATTTGAAGCGATTTCTGTTCAAACTAGTTAATGTCTGCTTCATATCTGTAAAATTAGCTGCCTGCTTGTCTATTAATTACTATGTTATCAATTGTTTGCTAGTCATAGTCACGAGAATAGAAGTAATTTGAACCGACGCGTATGCGTCACGTGACGTTTTGCAGAATTCAAAATTCAATGAGAAGTCAACAAAACATGTCAAATGGGGAGCTCGTTTTTAATGTTGTGACTGTGATTGTTACGGAATAGTTTTCATAAGCGCTTGGCATATACTGTAGGACAGGGTTCCTCAAATCTTGCTCTGGAGGGCCAATGCGCTGCAGAGTTTAGCTCCAACCCTGATCAAACTCACCTACCTGTGATTTTCTAATGATCCTGAAGACATTGATTAGCATGCTCAGGTGTGTTTGGTTAGGGTTAGAGCTAAACTCTGCAGGAAAGTGGATCTCGTGGGCCAGATTTGAGGATCACTGCTGTAGGATATCTGATTCTGGACGCGGCACTTTTGAATCAGGAGCTCAGAGACACGGCCGTATTCACGCTAGAGAGCGCACAATCCAGTCAAAGGACAAACGGATGGAAAAGACCGCTACATCTTCAGACCGGTTCTTTTAAAATAATAAAATAACTCCTTTTAACTTGACATGGCCTATTTGAACGCAACTATGAGTGCTAAACTGCAGTCAAGCCGGTTGCGAAGAAAATAGTATGTGTGCTTATTATGATAATTACGGTAATCTGCAGGCAGTACGAAACAACAGGCGTTCCAGGTTTTAAAAACGCCAAAGCACAGCGCCCTTAACGCACACTAAATCCACAACTATCTCGAATACCACTCCGGAGCGCTATTCGATGCTTAGTGTATCCCATCATGCATCATGTTCTGGAAATAAATCCTGAGACTTTTTGCCGATATCGCGCGAGAGGTAACGGAAACCTTTCCAGTGTAAGTTAGATATTAATACAATAAATAGATATTACATATAATTTGGTAGAAAAACAAAGTGTTGCACGTTTTACTGGTGTAAAGATGAGTAGTATTTATTTTGTAAACATTTGCAACTTTTTATCACTTAATTAGAAATTAAATTAAATTCTGTCATGTTATAGCGACTACTGACTGAACAGACATTTAGAAGTTGATTTTAAAATGCAAAGTATTTAAAATTTAAATTAAAATAACGCTATGTAAACACTTGCATTTTTACAACACTATAAGTGTGTCCCATCAAGTAATAAAGTTCAACACACACTTGTGGTCTTCATCCTTACTTGAACACTTGGGCCAAATACAGGAAATATGTCATATAATTAGTCAAGTGGTCAAGTGCAAAGACCACAAGTGGGTATTTGGACAAGGCATTGGACAAGGCATCTGAGATTGTCAGCAAGTTTTAGGAGACCCCATCACCCCACCTCCTCAAGCAGAGCATATACAACATTAAAACTTATTTAAATACAAGTTAACAGTCTTAGTTTTAAAATACCAGATGTTTCCATTTACATTACATAAGACAAAAAAAACTGTTCTATGCATTTGGTTTTGTTTGTTCAGTGTTCACTGATTTTTGATTGATGGAATAACACTTTTTTTATTATTATTTTAGAATACCAGTTGATGACTGCTGTGCAGTGGAAATGTAAGTTAAGAGCATGCTTTAGATTGTGTTTGTTTCAAGTGCCATGTTTGTGACAAAACTGCCATTACTTACATTTGTTTTTACATTGCAGAGAGGATCTACTTAGATAAATTCAAGATGAATGTAGAAAATTTCTTCCACAGACCGATCATTTTGCTTGATAAGACCTCAATATATCGTCAGGAGCAACAGGTATTAGTTTTGTATTCCTTGATATGTTTTTTCCCCCTCCAAAAATGGGCAGCCTGTGACTTGCATTTTATTAATCACCAAGGGCCACAGTTTCAGCTATAAATCTTCTTTGCTGTTCTGCTGAAGAAACATAGTCACTGACATCTTGGATGGCCTGAGGGTGAGTAAATTTACAGCAATTTTTTTATTTTTGGGCAAACTACTCCTTTAACTAAGCCATATGATGAGTCAGATTTTTTTCCCATTTGCATACTCATTTGAGGAGTAACAAGAAAGTTCAGTGTCCTTTCAAAGACTTTTAATTTAATACAAATGTGTTTTTTAATTTAATGCCCTTGATGACTTTTCAGTGAAAAAAAAAGTAATTTCCCTCTTCAAAACCTGTTTTTTTTTTTTCCTTTTCAATACCCAGAGTGTTTTATGGATGGTCTTCGAATATTAATAGCCACTCCATGTTTGTTCTTAGATCTTTGCAGAATTCAATCGCATATCTCGGATCTGAGTTCTGCGCAGCATTGGACACGGACTCTGCACTTCTGAAATTTTCAAGTTGATTAAAAGGTATTCCTTTATCAATAGGAATATCAATAGCTGTCGTCTTTAAATCATGATTTGCTTAATGATTGTTATCCTCAGCCTGTCTCTTCTTTTTCATAGTCATCTGAGGTTTGCACTCCAGTACTTCAGGGTCTTCCAGTCATCCTGGAGGAAGACCCAGAGGAATTTTACAGGATGTGCTTCGTAAGTATTATTGAATTTTCTGCACTCATCATTTTGTTTTATTCAATGAGAATATAGGTCAGGTTATGAAAAATTATAAAAGGTTCTGGGTATACTCTTTGTAATTTTGCAGTAGATGCTATATTTGTCTTTTGTGAAACAATTGATTACTGAAATTGGTGATGTAAATGCCTTAAATTGATGAATTTGTGTTGACTGATCACAAACAAACTTGTCAGCATTGCACACTTTGAATTAAAGGGTTAGTCTAGTTCACCCAAAAATTAGTTTTTGAACTGGTTGAACTACTAAAAATATGTTCACTTTACTTGAAGAAAATGTGGAAACCGATAGCACGTAATGTTTTTAAGTCCCCATAGCTTAAAATGGCAGATTAAATCCACGTTGAGAATAACAGCATTTAAGATGTTTGCAGAACACAAAATAACACTGTTAGTTAAATGGAATTAATAAAGTAATCTTACTATTACATATTAAGTAAGATTAGTAAATATCCTGGAGTATGTGAACTAGAAATGACATTAAACTAACTTGATATTTATTACTTAATTTACTCAGGAAGAGTTTGCTTTCTTTACTTTAAACTGATTATTAAATTAACTTTAGCTTTACCTTTAAGTTTACTTTGCCAAAATAAGGCAATCGGTTTCCAAACCTGGTTTTTTTTTTTTTTTTTTTTTTTTTTTTTAAGTAAACTGAACTAGTTAGGGTTTACAGTGCAACTAACAATGGAAGGAAAATAGATTTTTTAACAGGTACATTGGATAACATTGGATAAAAGCAACAAAGAGCACAAATGCAATGCAATGATTGCTCGTCAACTATGAGAAATGGCAAATGCTCAACTTAACAGCTGTTTCTGATTAACATCAACCTTCTACTTGTCTAATTTCAAAGTGGCATCTCATGCCCCAAAAAGGAAAAAAAATTAAATCACCGTACGATTAGGGGCTCTGTAGGGCTGCTCTGGCTTCTGTATGTAAACTGGGCTGTACAAAACCCTTGCAGCTACAACAGAGACAGGAGAGAAAAGACAAAGAAAGAAATAGGGGAAACAGCAGATCACCATGTGACAGCACCAGATGTGTTGAACAAATGGAGGTCAAGTGGAGGTAGAGTTATTAGACAAAAAAATTAAGAGAGATAGGAATGAGGGATAGATGCAAATGATAAAAAAATTCATCATTGTTCAGCTGAATTGGACATGCTTGCAACCTAATTAGGCACAACGCAAGTGTACTGTTAGTAATTAATAACTATTATTGTGTCCTCACTGAAAGTGAAATGTTCAGGAACAAAAGTAAAAGCCATACTGCTATCTGATCTGGATTTTGAGAAGAAAAAAAAAAGATTATGTTGTGGGTGGGACTAACTAGTGTGAAAAGAAAAGAAAAAGTCTTAAGGTGTGGTCATATTAACAATATTTCAGCCAAATTTCACAGGCAAAAAGGTCAATTTTCAATAGTGTAGTGATGTACAATATGAAGCACAGCTTTCACAGAAGTCACTTTCAAATCGAGCAGCTTTCTGTTGGTCAATGCAGTAAATTCACATGACCAGTTTGAACATGAGCTAAATCTGCATGGGGAGTTTTCACTCTCACACATAACGCCACGTGGATTCCTATTTAAATGATTGATTTGGCCCGCAAAATTTTGCCAAGCAACATTAAATGTGACCAAACCTTTAAGCCCCATTTACACCTGGTATCGACATCTGCCTCAAGCAACTCGATCAGCCAAGGCCATTTACACCCAATATTAACCTCAATCTCCACAATTAACCACTTGTAGTTGGACTGTTGCTGAGAGGTGAGTGAACAGGCTATCCTTCACTGTCTGAGAAACATCCAAATGCATTTGAAGTGCACTTTTTTTGTCCGCATTTTGCTCTGCTTCGCAGACAGTGCGCAATTTTTAACATAAGCACAGTCTGCTGATGTCCACGCACACTGTCTATGTGCAGCTCGATTTTTCTGTCTGTGCAGACTTGTATGTAATTGAGCGCTCAAAAAGACAGCTCCACGTTTCACGCATGTGCCAACTGAGTCCATCTGTCTCGCGTCAACGAATATTTTAAAAGCCTTATCTGTGTGCTTGACAGTAGTGTTGTCAAAAGTACAGGTAGTTCGGTACTAAGTCGATACTTAAATTTTAAAAACGTAAGGATACCAGCCTTTCCGCAGTACAGTAGTACTGAGTACCAAGTCAATTCAGTGCATGCTGATAGCTGACAGCTTTCAGCTTAATTGATTATAAAGTGACCACTCTTTGCATGCTTACTGTATATAATCCATTTATTTTTATTACTTATAGTTATTAATAACTAATTAATTTTATTCATTTAATATATTTCTGTTATGACAACTCTCTGAGAGTTTAGCATGGTAGTATACATGGCAATGTTAATATGTTTAGTCTTGGTGAAATAGATCTGCTATGCTGCTGCCGCTGCGGCAGAGCAAGTACCGAGACTTGCTACTGCCAATACATCCACAGACATGCTGCTGTGAGCATGTAAGAAATACTGCTGCTGCACATATAACATATATGAAATAGTGATGTTACGCCTGATACTGAGGCTTTGAAGCTTGTGTCGAGAACGTCAAGTACTTCCAGACAGTGCTCTGTATCGAGGCTTATATTGTTTTACTGAAGTGATGTCACTGGTGAAGTTCGAAGCCTCGTTTGAGAGCAGATTAGGGCTGCACGATTAATCGCATGCGATATTTAACGCGCATCTTGTCAGAAAGCCGGTTCTGTAATTAAATATCGCATGCGATTAATCGTGCAGCCCTAGTGCAGATCTATCTGTCTACTGTATCTGTCTGACTATCTGTATGTCTGTCTGTCTGTCTGTCTATCTATCTATCTATCTATCTATCGTTTGTTTACTATATGGCTGTATATGCTAATGTATCAAGCCCTTTTTAACCATGTAGCACACATTTTGGCGCTGTCACACTCCTGACCAGCAGGTGTCCCTAGCTTGCATTCAAAGCCTTGAGAAATGAGCCACTTTTCAACACATCTGGCTGGAAGCTTCAAAGCTTCATCTTGCCACCACTAATATGAAATAATCCCCATGTATAGCATACATGACATTACCCCATAGCAGATCTATACAGGTGGAGCTGGGGAAGGTGGAGGGTGTCTGAAGCGCGCTGTAACTGCTACAGTAAGCACTAGCCAAGTATCTGAATGTTGAGCAGCTCATTGGCTGCTGATGCAAAAAAAGAAACCAATCAGCTGCGCCATGTGAATAATGATGTCATTATGTCAGATTGAGTTAGAACCTATATTGGACTGCGCCATCTAGAGATCCATGACTGAACTTTGTGTTTATTTTCAAATAGTGAAATAAAAAAAAATATTAGAATAAAATAGTTACAATAGTTTTTGCTATGGAACAGAAATTGGTACCAAGAATCTTGGAAATTTTACTGGTATTGGTACTGACTATTGATATTTTGGTACCGTGACAACACTACAAGACAGAGTGGAACATGGGTGGATATAAATAAAATGTGGATTATAAATGTGGTTTGTGTAATCAGATGACATAATGCAGACCTCGTTTACACCTATATGTAATGCTGACCACTTGTGATCACATCACCCCAAACAGATATTAATACTAGGTGCTTTATTGCAAAATTATGTTTACAGTCTCAGCTGAACAAGACCAAAACTCAAAGAATAGAAGTGGAAGAGATGTAATTTATTGTCTGACATTTTATCATGTGACATAAAATGTTGAAAGCTGTTTATCTGCTCACCTTCTGTATATTCTTTAGTGCCATCAAGAGGGTCCACCCACACAACCAGCTGAGAAAGATGAAATATTACTTTTTATTTCAGAAATAGTATATTCTACATTTATAGCACAGTTGTAAGCATTATGCCCATATTCTGTTTCCTATTCCTCTTTACCTCTTCCTCCTTCAGGCTGGCATACTGATCCGGACAAGATTTTTGTAGAATTAGGCTGCTTTGTCCGTTCTCTATCAGGTCCTCTTCAACAGCCTCAGCTGGTAATTCCTGCACAAATAAATTACAAATCTCAATTAAAATATAATGTTCCACTGGTTGGAGCCAACACAGACTGAGCGTCTTCATATTAGGAGACGTACGTACCTCCTCCCCGATGATAGTGACTTTAGGGAAGCTTTTCGACAGGGATGCACATATACTCTTCTGAACAAGCCTGTCAGCCAGAGTCTGTAGATCATTGGCTCCTGACTGTGCCAAAAGCACAGGTTACAAAAACATAATGTCAAAAGCATATGTAAAAACTATTTTACCACCTAAATTAATTACTACATTAACAGTAATGTTATCTTCTCATAAGCCAAAATCAGCCTTGATTTTTACCAAGTAGGACGTGTTAGTAATAGTGGATCAACATATTTGTTCAACCAATCAGATTTTAGGGTCTTATTGGAAGTTAAGAGCTTAGGACCTTTCAAGTGTGGTGAGATCGTCTCAAGTGTTTTTTGGATCAACATCCTTGTTGGTAATATGCCTCTACTTGCCATACCTTTTCAACGATACCCAGCTCTCCACTTTGAAGCACTTTCTGGACAATAGTTCCAGCCTTTTCGGCCACGGCGTAGGCTGAAGCCACCAGCTGCATCAGCACTGCAGGTCTGTTCGCCATGACACCAGCTGAAACAGAAAGACACACCTCAGAAAGACACACCTACTGCAAATAACCAGGGGAAAAGTCAAAAGACTACAAGTTGTGCAAGTCACTATTATATGAACATTACGAGGAATGAGATTCTAGCCAAAATAAAACTTAAAATATTGATTTACTACCGTTATGTATTTTTGGTATCAGTGATTCTTAAGATTTTTGACTTGATTTTCTCTTTATTTTATCATCTTTATAAAGATATATTCATCTTTTATAAAGTTTCCCTGTTTTGGTCACCACAAACATATTTATGAAATGTTATTTATATATATATATATATATATATATATCCATTGTCAAATCATCCTGAATATCCTGCTGCCATATTTTACCTGATTTGCACAAAATTCTTATATTGTTATATCGGGGTTCTCATATTTTCTGTCTCAACCTATGATATATCAACTGTAAAGAATTTGTTGGAGATTTAACAATTAAACAGATGCAGCTAATCTGACTTTTTTTTTTTTATGAAAGTTCATGCTAGATTGATCATATATAATAATATTTGACACATTATCTTTGTATCTAACAGTGGTGACCCATATAGAGGGAAAGGCAAAAGAAAAAGGATATATATATATATATATATATATTTTTTTTGTATTCACTTGATCACAGAACACAATGATAAAGCACATCAACTTTGACAATAGTCATGAACTGTATAGATGGTTAATGAGTAAGTATTAAAATGGACTCTGAACATTATTGTCTGAAGAGCAATTAGCATGCAAGACAGTTTTCAAAATAATTTACCATTCGTCCCCAAACCTCTAATTTTTGTCATCACACTCACTTATATAAAACACATACGTCTTTACTCTTTAATCATGGTATACTCGTTCTTAGCGTTAATTCACTGTGCAGTCCTGGGCGATATGCTATTGGTGTGCAATGTCGCGGTGCAGACCTGTTTTTATACAGTCTATGGTGCAGACGGATATTTCGCAGTAAGTGAGTGTTTCGGGGGTTGGCTCTATAGCTCTGTGCTCTTACTTTAATCGCAGTCCGTGTCCAGCGGGGCTCCAGAGTTCAGCTGCACTGTGGGACAGGAAGACGTCGTACCGTCGTGTACACTGTGCTTGTCTTGTAGTTCTTGAAAGGAAGGGTCTTAGTGCCCGCTGGGTTGCTTTCTTTTTAAAGAAATAGTCCACCTAAAATGTTGTCATTATTCTTTAGATACCCATACGGATTTGAAATAACAGTGTAGTGTAGGCGATGTAAATGACCAAACTTTTTTTTTTCATAAACCATTTAATTCACATAAGTAAAAATCTTACTGAAATTAAAGGGTTAGTTCACCCCAAAACGAAAATTCTATCATTGATTACTCACCCTCATGTCGTTCCAAACCCGTAAGACCTTCGTTCATCTTCGGAACACAAATTAAGATATTTTTGATGGAATCTGAGTGCTGTCTGCCCCTCCATAGACAGCAACGCAACTGAAATGTTCCCAGGTCCAGAAACGTAGCAAGGACATCGGTAAAACAGTCCATGTGACAAAAGTGGCTCAACTTCAATTTTACAAAGCTATGAGAATACCTTTTGTGCGCAAAGAAAACAATAATAACGACTTTATTAAACAATTCTTCTCCCCTGAGTTACTGTCTTCCGCCATTTTGGAGAGTATCACAACGCATACGCACGCTTTCTTTATATATACATAATAAATATACACAGTACACAAACATATATTATGTAAACAAAAACTTTTATTTTGGATGCGAATAATCGTTTGACACCACTAATTTTTATATATTTTCATATATATATATTTTTTTATAATTGTATTATTATATTTATATTTTAACTATCTAATTTCTTTGTGTGTAGATTTAAGCACTTCTGGCTAACTAGTCTCATTTTTTTTTTTCATGCTATATTTGTTCATATGTATAATAATATTTGACACATTATCTTTGTATCTAACAGTGGTGACCCATATAGAGGGAAAGGCAAAAGAAAAAGGAAAAAAGTTTGAGATTAGATCTAAATGTAGGTGAATTTTCTGAACATTTGAAAAGATTAAGTCAACAGTCTTTAATAATTATCAATAACACAGTAGCAAACTGAAATGTTCCCAGGTCCAGAAACGTAGCAAGGACATCGGTAAAACAGTCCATGTGACAAAAGTGGCTCAACTTCAATTTTACAAAGCTATGAGAATACCTTTTGTGCGCAAAGAAAACAATAATAACGACTTTATTAAACAATTCTTCTCCCCTGAGTTACTGTCTTCCGCCATTTTGGAGAGTATCACAACGCATACGCACGCTTTACCCTAAGCATAAACAACGCTGATTACGTTCATGCACATGCTTTCCCCCTCGAACGTAAACAACGCTGATTACGTTCTTGGGTACTCTCCAAAATGGCAGAAGACGTAACTTGAGGGAGAAGAATTGTTAAATAAATTGTTATTTTTGTTTTCTTTGCTCTCAAAAAGTATTCTCGTAGCTTCGCAAAATTCACATGGACTGTTTTACCGATGTTCTTACTATGTTTCTGGACCTGGGAACATTTCAGTTGCGTTGCTGTTTATGGAGGGTCAGAGAGCTTTCAGATTCCATCAAAAATATATTAATTTGTGTTCCACAGATGAACGAAGGTCTTATGGATTAGGAACGACATGAGGGCGAGTAATTAATGACAGAATTTGCATTTTGGGGTGAACTAACCCTTTAATCATTTGTGGAATGCATTATGATATTTGTGAAGAAGAAAACTGATAGTTTTCTATGGAAGCTTGTTTCCATCATGAGATAAAAAAAACAAAACATACTTTATCTCACAATTCTATTATTCTTCAAATTCTGAGGAAAAAAAAGTCAGAATTGTGAGTTATACACAGAATTGTGAGATATACAGTGGCTATAGAAAAGAATCAATCACACCCCCCTTTTAAAATAATCACATTTTGTTGCTTTGCAGCCTGAAATGAAGTGGCTTTTTCTTGCAATTCTGAGTTTATATCTCACAATCCTGAGTTTTTTTGTTCTCAGAATTGCCAGAAGAAATGTCTGAATTGGGAGGTAAAAAGTTGCATTTATACATTCATTCATTCCATGGCTCTACAAGCTCCCATAGTTTTCCTGTCAATGTCAACAATAAAAGTCATACTTTATATGTACTTTATTTTACTTCAGAGCTATTTCAGTAAAACCATTAGTGCTCCCTAAAAATGTGAACGATTTAAGTCTGCTTGGTATCAGTAGGTATATTTGTGATTTCTGACAAATGACTAAACTGAATTAAATCAGAGCATATAATACACCTGAAAACATGCAGTTACATGCAACTGTGAATCCTTTTGTAGAAATGAATTCAAATAAATGCAGTCTTGACAGAAAGATGGATTCAAATGGGTCACAGCAGGCCTACTCATTTTATAGTCATCCTTGACGAAGCTGTTGCATGATAGTACTCCAGCTAATATCAAATTGAGTCTCATTTCTGACCTTTTATTGGAAGTTGATCTTTTCGTAAGTGAATCCAAGAGGAAGTCCTGTCTCTTAGTAATACATTTCAGCTGAATTAATTAGTTTAGATAAGAGAGCCTATAGCGGAGTGTTGACTAAAATTATGTGACTCATTCTAATTTGTTGGATGCATGATGGGAATAAACTGTCATTTATTTAGTCACACTCCACTCACAAGGAAGCATATATGTGTGTATATATTAATAAAAAAGCATTTTATTAATGTAAATACAAGTAAATCATTTAAGAAGATTCTAGGATACATTAATATAATGCAAACAAGTTTCCCAAGTGCACTTTACATATCCACATTTAGACTGTTTTACTAATTAAGCAAGGTTTGCTTCCTATCATACACGTTCATCTATTGGCCACTGGCCTGTATCCCATCTCCCCTTCCAGCTGTTCGGCTGTTAAAGTTCCCAGGATGGGTTGACAATCAGGGTTAAACACAGAATACGCGCTCATTTCTCCAGGTTGTCGGGCTCTTGGGCTTCGAAGGCCCTCATAGAGCCAGTAGAATAACGATATGAGAAAAAATGGCAGGCCAAACTCAAGTTCCGAAAAAAGCCCCAGCAGCACGAGCCACAGCAGCACTTTCAGCAGGGTCAGATGTGTAAGAGCCACACTCTGAAGCCATCGACCACATGTAGTATTCAGCAAATGATGATTGTGATCCTAAAATGACAGGAAAATATTAGATTGGGTTCATTAGGCAAAACGACATGGGCAGTTTCCAGTGCGTTTCCAATTACGTATGGCTGTTGTTGTTTTTTTTAAGTAGTAAGTGTGATCATACCTCTGTGTGTGGACTCTGAAGGCAGGTGTTGGGCTTCTGTTCTGGTGTGTCAGTACACACTGCTGGAGAATCAGCGCTCATTGCTTTCGTTTCAGTCTGGATCACACGACCAGCAGGTTCCTTAGCTTCAGTCTGGGCTTTCTTTCGGGCTCTGAACTCAGACAGCTTACGCTCCATATTTCATACCTGAAAAACTGTAATTAGAGGGAAAATGTACAGAGTAGTTAATCTGCGTTGAAATCGCTCCTGCGGTCACGTGTTAATATTTACCAGACTTGTCTTCCGTATTAGTTTTGCACTGGTCGGACGGCAAATGCTTCTGTCTAATGTTTGTCACTCACTAAATGTTTTTTTCCTCCAGCGGGGGCGCTTGGTGGCTCAAAAAGCTAAATTAATTCAGCTAAATTCCAATTTCGTGACTCTTTTTGTCTCAATATTGAAAAACGAAAACACTATCACATAAAATTATTTTTAAGTTGATCAATTCCAGTGAATAATACGAGACATACATGAAATAGTAAGTGCGCATCTCTACAAAATCAACGAATCCTTGTAATCGCAGACCACTGTTATTGGCCCAGGCTGACTAGCGCTGAGTAAAGTAACAGGTATCACGTGACAACCCCCATCAATTTCCGCAAAGGATGTTAACGTACAACCTTCACGAGCAATTTAACTGCAATACACAGTGAAGAGTTAAATAAGAGAAGTATTATTTATACCAGTCGCGGTCCACCAATTAAGAGAGTTCTGGTCGCAAAGCCTCGTCCATTTTATGACTTTATTGATAGTTTCATTGCCATCTTCTATGGTTCATCAAACGAGTTGCAGTTGCACACGGACACTTTTATGGCTGTACCCACCGGAAGCGTGTGCGTCACAGGAGAGGCTGTGATTAGGCATCATCGATGTAAGTACATGGAAATATTTCAGATATTAGGTATACAATATTAATATATTTACATCTGAACCTCAGAAAGAATGGTTAATCAGTGGTTTTGCGGTAAGCGGAACTAACGATACACTGATAGATGACAGCTGAACCCAGCAGAGCTCTCATTCTTCATAACAACAACAGCAAATAATATCAATATTACATGTCTAATAATCTATATAAGCTGAGGCTGCTTGCAAGCAATCTGTGCAGCTATTTATTCAGTATATTTAAGTATTATTTATTGGGTATTTCGTCTTTGCCCTATAATCAGAATGAAGGGGTTGATGTGGTCGTTTTTTTTGGGGGGTGCTCAATATACTGTTATTATAATTAATTTGATGTTTCCTGTTTACAGTTCACATTTTGATTTATTTAAAAAAGGTAAAAGAAATTCACACATTTATTTGCGACCACTTTAAATAGCAAATGTAATACTATGTGAGCATGTGATAAACAAAACTATTTAACAAATAATTGTATTTAATCTTTTCACATACTACTCAATATTCTGTGACAACTTTTAAAATTTCAATTCAAATGTTATTTTATTGTTTGTGCTTTTGAAATGGATCTTTACTATCCCAAATTAGTCCAATTGCATTCAAGGCTACATTTGAATGCGTGTTTTCAGCAAATGCAATTGTTGCATGTGTAATTATTTAGTTGTTTTATACCTTCACCTATGTGGTATATTTAGGAAGTGTGTGTAGAAATTAAAACGATCCCGTACCCTGTTCAGGCCCTGATATATAGTGCATTCAAATAGTATTGCTTTACTTTAACATGCATAGTTAGTTTGTGACTACCTTGAAACCAGTAACCGTTTCTCTTTGTTGGTCAAGATTATTTGCAGCACAT